CCCCGGAGGTCATGGTGGTCCTGATGGGGGCTTCGGAGGAGGGTCTCGGGGTCTCAGTTGGTGCTCCGGGGCTTCTGTTCCTGCCGCGGTGAGAAACAGGAGCCCGCCCGTGCTGCTCGCCCCGTCATGCTGGGTGAGGGTGACGGTGAGCTCAGCCTGGGAGAGGCGGGTTCCATGCCGCTGGGTGTGCGGCCCCTGACGCCCTGTCCTTGCAGCGACCTGGCCAACGGCGCGGACGGGGCGCTGGCCACGAGCTCCAGCGGGTCGCAGTATAGCGGGTCCCGGGTGGAGACGCCGGTGTCGTGCGTCGGCGAGGATGACGAGGACGACGAGGACTTCAACGAGAACGAAGAGGAGGACTGAGCCGGCCGCCCGCGGCCAGCAGCGCGCGCCGGGGAGAGACCTCCGTCCTGCCGTCCTCCTCCCAGAAGAGCTCAGCGACCCCCGGGCTCAGGGTGCTTCTGACAAGCCGCCCGCCGTGCTCCGGGGGGTCCCGATGAGCCGCCTGTGTTTGACACCGACGCACGACCTCTCCTCTTTCGGATTTTGTGTTTTCGTTTGCTGTTTTTTAAGTTCGGAGTTCACTTCGCCCCCTCACAGTTTGCTGAGTTTACTGGAGAAGTTGTGCGGCCTCCATGCCGCCCGGCGGGCCCAGTGCAGCGCCCCGGGGGCACTGTGGGCATGGCAGATGCCCGGCTCTGCTTCTTGATGTTTTATTATGACTTTGTCTCCCTTAAATTATATTGACTGCGTGACTCCATCTGGTTTACACTTTGGTTTTGCTCTGTGTTGCAGCAAATGGATTGCAAGGTCCCTTTTTGTTTTTGTTTGTTTTGTTTGGTAAAAGTTTACTGCCATGCTGGTGCAGCCATGGAAACTGAAGCTTGGAAGGGTTTATTGCTTATGGTAAAATTTGCCTGATTTCTTACAGGCAGCGTTTGGAAACTTTTTATTATATAGTTGTTTACATACTTATAAGTCTATCATTTAAAGACATGTACTGAAACAAATGTTGTATTTGTTTCGTAAGCATCTTCCTGTAATCTATTATAAAGTTGAAATTAAATATAGAGAATGTTTTAACAGTTTTTTAACTCAAAATTTGTCAATCATTTTTAATAGTTCTTTTTTTATAAAAAGAAAAAAGAATTTCAGGACAGGCAGTAGTCTCTTTTAAAATTTATTCACCAAGAACCATTAACTGCACAGTTGCTATTAGCTGCCTGTTCTAAAATAATAGTCTTTTTATTGGAACACAAATAAACTTTTCTGTAATATTTTGTGGAATAAAGAGACTTTAATTGTTTGACTTGTTTAACTTGGCACTGTTAGTTTTTATTAATAAAGTGCGCATGGGCATTTTAAACAAGCCGTGTGTCCCTGTGATTCGGGATGCTCTCTGGAGCTCACCACCACCAGGACCTTTTCTGCAGGGAGGAGCGGGTGCCAGCCCTGCAGTAGATATAGGACCCGCCGTGCGCGGCCCCGGCCCGCCCTGCGGTAGGTATAGGACCCACCGGGGTCCCAGGGGTGGGCAGGGAAGGTGGTCCTGTGGACACGGCCGACGTGGCACCTCCTCTCTGCGGCTGGTGGCGGGGAGAGCGTCTGTTCCCTGTCTTGTTTTTGGAAGAACCATACTCATCAGCTTGGGGCTTCCCAGGAGGCTCAGTGGTAAAGAATCTGCCTTCAGTGAGGAGAAAGGGTTCCATCCATGGGTCAGGAAGATCCCCTGGAGGATGAAATGGCAACCCACTCCAGGACTCCTGCCTGGAGAATTCCATGGACAGAGGAGCCTGATGGGCTGCAGTCCGTGGGGCTGCAAAAAGGCAGACATGGCCTGAATATAAGCAGTCCTGAGTATTCATCGGAAGGACTGATGCTGAAGCTGAAGCTCCAATACTTTGGCCACCTGATGTGAAGAATGGACTCATTTGAAAAGACCCTGATGCTGGGAAAGACTGAAGGCAGGAGGAGAAGGGGGCGACAGAGGATGAGATGGTTGGATGTCATCACCAACTTGATGGACATGAGTTTGAGCAAACTCTGGGAGTTGGTGATGGACAGGGAGGCCTGGCGTGCTGCAGTCCATGGAGTCGCAAAGAGTTGGACACAACTGAGTAACTGAACTGGACTGAACTGAGACACAACCTAGCATATGTGATTACCACTCCCTTTAACATTTGAATCCTTATGAGACATGACCTTTGCAGACACATCTCCAAAAGGTCAAAAGCACGGGGAAGCTGGGGCGGGGGGGGGCGGGGGCGACACCCTCACAGGTGATGTGCCCACGGTGAGATGACCAGGCGGGTCATGCCTCGCCTTCCTCCTCGATCCCAGGAGCTGAAACAGATTTTAAGGCTTTGGCTTTCAGAAAAAGAGTAAGATGGTAAGATTGGCAAGGTCAAACCTTTATTCAGGTTGTCTGAAGATACAAGCGAAGGTTCAGTACAAGGTTGTGGACTTGAGCAGTCCTGTCCCCCAGAGACTGTGACAGCTTATCTTGTCATCCCGACTGTGATGGACTTGTGTGCTGAGGGATGCGGCAAAGGGCAGGGCAGCGTCCAGGCCACAAGCGGGCGAGCTGATCCACGCGTGAGTGAGGGACAGTCATGAGTGGGTGAGGGTGGGCACGTGTGGGTGAGGCGGGCCACGTGTGTGTGACAGCAGGTCACATGGGTGAGGGACAGTCAAGAGTGGGCAAGGGCGGGTCGTGTGTGGGCGAGGATGGGCCACGTGTGGGTGAGGAAAGGCCAGTCACGAGTGGGTGAAGACAGGCCACGTGTGGGTGAGGATGGGCCACGTGTGGGTGAGGAAAGGCCAGTCACGAGTGGGTGAAGACAGGACCTGTGTGGGTAAGGTTGATTCACGTGTGGGTGAGGGCAGGTCACATGTGGGTAAGGGCAGGTCACGTGTGGGTGAGGCCAGGTCACATGTGGATGAGGGCAGGTCACGTGTGGGTGAGGTTGATTCATGTGTGGGTGAAGACAGGTCACGTGTGGGTGAGGCGGGCCATGTGTGGGTGAAGACAGGTCATGTGTGGGTGAGGGCAGGTCACATGTGGATGAGGGCAGGTCACGTGTGGGTGAGGTTGATTCATGTGTGGGTAAAGACAGGTCACGTGTGGGTGAGGCGGGCCATGTGTGGGTGAGGGCAGGTCACGTGTGGGTGAGGGCAGGTCGTGTGCAGGGGAGGCGGGCCACGTGTGGGTGAGGTGGGCCACGTGTGGGTGAGGGCAGGTCACATGTGGGTGAGGGCAGGTCGTGTGCAGGGGGGGCGGGTCATGTGTGGGTGCAGGTAGGTCACGTGTGGGTGAGGTTGATTCATGTGTGGGTGAAGACAGGTCACGTGTGGGTGAGGCGGGCCATGTGTGGGTGAGGCAGGTCACGTGTGGGTGAGGGCGGGTCACGTGTGGGTGCGGGTAGGTCACGTGTGGGTGAGGTTGATTCATGTGTGGGTGAAGACAGGTCACGTGTGGGTGAGGCGGGCCATGTGTGGGTGAAGACAGGTCATGTGTGGGTGAGGGCAGGTCACATGTGGATGAGGGCAGGTCACGTGTGGGTGAGGTTGATTCATGTGTGGGTGAGGACAGGTTACATGTGGCTGAGGGCAGGTCACGTGTGGGTGCGGGCAGGTCACGTGTGGGTGAGGTTGATTCATGTGTGGGTAAAGACAGGTCACGTGTGGGTGAGGCGGGCCACGTGTGGGTGGGGTGGGCCACGTGTGGGGAGGGCGGGCCGCGTGGGCGAGGGCAGGCCGCGTGTGGGTGAGGGCAGGCCGCGTGTGGGTGAGGGTGGGCCGCGTGGGTGAGGGCAGACCCGCCGCAGCTGCGTTCCCAGCGTGGTGCTGCTGCTTCTCCAGGGCGCTGCGGAGCTGACGCACGCGGGGGCAGGACTGAGGGTCTGTGGCGGGCGGGGAGCATGGGCAAGGATGTGGCACTGGCATCCTCACCTCACCGCTCTTCCTGGCGGGCACTAGGCCATGGCCTGGTCATCCTGGAGTGCCACACCTCAGGGCTTCCACACCAGCCTCCTTCTGCCCCGTGTCCTTGCGGTGGTGGCCAGTGACCTCTTGGGGTGGTCACAGTTATGACCTAGTGACTCCTGAGTCTGCAGACAGCATGGCCTGGGGCAACTCGGGCCAAGCCCTGGCTCTGGCGTTAGCGCAGCGGCGGTCCCTGGGGGGTGTTCGCAAGCTCCTGCAAGTGCCCGGCCAGCACCTGAGGCCTCGGTGACGTTGGTACGAGGCCTGGTGGGAGAAGCATCCAGACCCCTGACCCCGGAGCCCAGCCTCCCCTACCCTAGGGGCTGGTCAGCCTGTGCAGTCAGCAGCAACTTAACGGGGAGGTCCAGCCTCCTGTCCACGGGCGCCTTGTGGCCAGCCGGAGCCGGGTACTTGCCTCCCCACCCCCCGCAGGGACAGCCCCTCAGCAGCTGGGCCGATCCCCCCAAACCGGGTCAGCAGCCCCATGTCCGGGGTCTGTAGGGGGAGCCTGGGCAAGCTGCCTACTGTGCGTGGGCCCCATCGAGGCCTTGGAGTCATTTGCGGGGTGACTGTACCCTTGACCTCCGACCTCCAGTGTGTCGTGACATCCCCGAGATGGCCTGGTCCCTGACCTGACCTTCCCCAGGTGCTCAGAGTCGCCGCTGCAGGGTCAGCAGAGGACATTCCCAGCGCAGGTCTCCGGTCCCCCGGTTCCTGGGGGTCCTCTGTGGGCTTAGGCTCTGGGTGACAGATAATAGCAGATACGTCGTTGGGACAGAATGTTTTGGTTTCGGGGTTTTCTGAATGGGCTGGGGCCGGAGAGCCCCACCCTGGAGGTTGGAGGGGAGACTGGGCTGGGCGGAAGGCCACTTCTGGGGTCTGGGCTCCACCATGTGGCAACACCCTTCACCCTGGCCGCGACGTTGGGACAGCCCCTCCCACGCTGGTTCGTAACTTCCCCGACTTGCAGTTGAAAGTGTTATAGAAAGAGAATTTTTTAGTTAATTTTAGTTAATTCTTTTCAAGTTAATTCAGCTAACTAAATTTTAGTTCATTAATTTTTTTAGTTTACTCTTCCCTGTCATCACGAAAGACACGACTCTTTTAGGTAGGTTAAGAGTGGATTTAATAAACTTGATTTTTACAGTTTAGGAGTTGTGTTTTTTAAAGCCAATGTCCAGAATGCCTGAAATCCTAAGTCACATTTCTGGTGTCCATAGTCACATGTAGGAACAGTAAGTTATAGCAAGAATGGTGCGGTCCGCGAGGGCGAAGGAGCCCTCCCATGTCTTAGCTGTGCAGCGGCGGCCTTGTGGGCCCCACGTGAGCCCGTTTATCGTGGCCACAAATCTGCCGAAAGGGAAGAGGTCTGATGGGGTCCTGACGGTGCGAGCCTGGTGCGGGGTGGTCTGGTACGGAGCTGCCCCGGTGCTGGGTTCCGCTGGACAAGGCGTCGGGGTCGCCCTGTGCCTAGGGGGCAACCCGGGCCTCTCTACTTCTGGATTGTCAGCTTGAACTCCACCTTCCCCTCGTAGGGGTCATGGGGGTTGTTGAAGGTCACGTGCTCTGCCAGGATCTTGCACACGACAACCACCTCCTTGTTCTTGGGGACATTGAGGAGCTTCGCGGCCACCAGAGGGTTGCTGTAGTGGGGCTGAAGAGACTCCAGTTAGGGTCCCTGTGAGAGGGCGGCCGGGTGCTCGGCACGCAGAGGCAGTGCTCTCACTGAGCTACAGGTGTCTCCTGCTTAGAAGTGAGGAGACCCGGCCCAGAGGGATGGACCCGTGACAAATTCAACTTCAAACTATACCTGATAAAAATTAAACAACACAGAGGATAAAGCAAGAGCTTTGGGGGAAATGATTTTAAGTGGATATGCAGTTGTTCAAGGAGGCCCTTGGAAAGTAAAAGATGAGATTTGATGTCAATTTTGGGTGAGAATGTGAGCTTGGGAGACCCCCAGAGGTTAAGTGGTTAGGGTGGGCTAGGTACAGCCTGGCTTCCTCTCACAGGCAAAAGTCTCTGGCTGTCCCTTCACGAGTGGCGGCTGCTGTCGGGCCCTGGGGCCCACGTACCTGGGCCTTCTTCCCGTAGTAGGGAAAGTAGTGCAGGCTGTAGGAGGCACCGGGCGGGAAGTAGTCCACCTGCAGAGCCGGGGTGTCCCGGTGCTGGTCCTGCGGGTGAGAGGCCGCTGCAGGGAAGGCCGGGCCCGGCACATGCATGCGCTGCACACATGTGTGCGTCCGTGCCTGCTCTGCACACGCGTGTGCCTCTATGCTTGCTCTGCACGTGTGTATCTGTGCATGTTCTGCATGTGTGTGTGCACATGTGCAAAGCAGGTGACTGCACGAGCAGTTGGCATGAACCAGATCTAGTCTGGTATCATCAACCAGGAATCCGTTCATGGTGTAACGTGTTAGTTCATAAGACCCCGGTGACTTACCAAAGTCATACCTTCCAGATTAAACCCTCTTAGGATAAAAGAGGTGACAGGGCTGAGTGTGTGGGGCTGGCAGCCCATGAGACGTGTGGCCCACCTGCTGAGACCAGGGCTGTGTCTGCCTGCTGCGGGGGCCACCCTCGTCCACTGTCAGGGTCTGCGCACAGCCCAATGGACCCCAATCCCGTCTGAGAGCAGGAAGGGGCAATTTGGTGTCCGTTAAAACCTCAAGTCAGCTTGCACATGTGCAGTCAAGGAAGCTAAAAACGGAAAATTGGAACAGGACGCACCCGCGGCCTGGGGGGCTCCACCAAAGTGTGCAGTCACCCTGGTGGGTTGTCCCTGCAGATGGCAAAGAGCTTGGGCCCAGGGCATAACTAGAAAGCAAGCTTTAGAAAATACTCAGTGAAGACAAGTTTAGTTTTACCCATGTTGTACTTTAAAACGCATTTGAGAAAAACTGGACTAAATTAATGGCGATTCTTGGCAGCATGTAAACTCACACTGTTAATCAACGGTGCTGGTGTTAATCAGCATCGTTTTGTAAATAAGCAAACAAAAGGACAAAAGAGGGTGGTGGAAGTGTGTTGGGTTTTCCAAATTGCCACAGACATCCTGAAGTCTGTTGGGGATACACTGTCTCAGATGCTTTTTTGAAGCAAAACAATCACAAGTGCTGGTTTTTCTTACTGGGTTTTCATCCCTACAATAAAAACCACTTAGCGTGAAGGTTCCTGCCATCCATGTACCTGGTTTATTAGGCGACCTCTGAGATGTTTTTAGGGGAAACCTGATCAGTGTTTCCCAAACAGGATGGCCGTGGCCTGTGGGTCACTCACCAGGAAGGCGCAGTCCACCCTGGGGGCCGTGCTGTTGCCGGGGAGAAACTTGACAATCTGCAAGGGAGCGGCTGTGAGTGTGGGGGGTGGGGAGGGACTGGGGGTCCTGCTCTGAGGACTCAACAGGTGTGCCCCCTCCTGCTCCAAGCCTGTGGTCTTGGCTGCTGGGTGGCAGAGCCGGATGGTTGGCAGAGCCCAAGCCACGGCCTCCACCTCCCGCACCTGTGCAGCTGGCCCCCTGCGCCTCCCCGCCCCCGCCTGGCCCCGCCTCTGAAAACCCCGGCCCCTGGGTCCTGCTGCTGGTGCCCAGGGCCCAGAGTAGCACCTGCCTCACTCACGGAGACCCCGGCCTTCCTGCTCTGCGTGCCCACCAGGGAACAGACCCTGGCTGGACCGGGCTGAGCGTAGAGCACAGGTCTATGGCCTCTTCCGCCTCTCAGAGAGGAAGGTGAACAGCGTCACCCTGGCCAGACCCCGCGCCCCCGGGTCCCTGTCTGTGCATCGTGGGTGGCCTCCAGAGGTCTGCCGGGTCCTCTCAGCCCATCCCTCAGCGCCTGGCCCCAGCGGTTCTCAGGCACCCTCCCCGTGCTGACCGCCTGGCTTTTCCCAGCCGTCCTGCGCACAGGACTGCCCTGGGCTCCACAGCTCGCCGGTCAAGCAGGTGGCGAGTCCGGGCGGCCGCTTCCTGGTGAGGGCTGCAGGCTCCCTAGCCAGCCTGGGGCCTGCAGGGATGGGGGGCGGGGGCCCTTCTCCCCTTTGACCCCACACTCACTCTGTTCATCTTGATAATGAAGCATGGCTTTCCCTCTGCAAAACCGAAGGTGGGGTCCGGCTGGCCGGAGCAGTTCTGCAGCATGTCCGCTGTGAACTTGCAGGAGAACTTGGTGTGGTTCGGGGCCAGGAAGTGCTCCTGGAAGAAGTACCTCTCGGACGTGCAGTTGATGCTGTCCTCCTGGGCTGCAGGCGAGTAGCCTGCGGGGGACACACCTGTGGTCCTGCCGGAGCAACAGCCCACGCCCCACCCAGCTCCTTAGGAAAGGAGAGTGGAGACCGAGGCCTGGGTCACACCTTACCCGCCAGGAAGTGCCGCAGCGCCTGTGTGAGCCCTGTCCAGGTCCTGTTGTCAGACACATTGTAGGAGATGTCCAGGCCTTTGTCCCCGTAGGTGTCTGGCCTCAAGGTCACCCCTGGAGAGAGGACACAATGCCTGGGGCTTGGCTGCATGTTTAGGCTGCGTGCTGTCCTTCTGGCCTGGCCGAGGGGTGGCAGCGCTCAGGATGCTGGGACCCAGCACTTTGAAGGTCCCCGCCCTCTCCCAGTGCCCCCAGGAAGGCCCGGGGCTCTGCACAGTCGCCAGGGGGCTGATCAGTTGCACGAGGCCTGGTTAGGCCCCTGGGCTCCCTCTGCAAGAGGCCCGCCCCTTACCCTGCCTGCCAGTCTGCGGGCTTGAGACAAACTCTATCATGGTGTGGTTTCAAGCGTGTAGTCTACTACATCCTGTTCTGAGATTGCATTGAGATCCTCCATGTCTGATCTGTTTGTTGATTCTAAAGATTGACCCCAGCTGTCACGAGGGTTTGTGGACAAAGCTCTGAGGGTGGTGGGCCCGCCCCCTCCAGGCACAGCCCAGCACCGCTGTTGGGTGGTCTTGGATTATTTTCTTCCTCGGGAAGCACGAAGGACGCAGGGGTGACAAACACTGAGTCGCTGGGCTGGGAAAGCTGAGCTTTCTTCAGCCCCCTTCCCGCCTCTCTGTTTTCTGTCTGCCCTCAGCCTGGGTCAGCAGGCTGCATGCGGAGGTCTTGGTCCAGATGCTGTCCCCAGGCTTCAGAGGGGCTGCCCGCCTGTCCCCTGCCGGCGCATCTCCCCAGCGCTTCCCCCTGTTTGGGCACCGCCTCAGCCCCATCACACGGGGAGCGGCCGCCCCCTTAGATGAGACTCCAGCCCTGGGTCTGCTGGCCTCCTTTTGGCGAGGAGGCGAGGGTCCCCCGGGAGAGCGGCCTTGGTGCTGGACGGCCGCCCCCGCCTCCTGGTCCCGTGGTGCCCGTGCCTCCACATCCTCCCCAAGGGGTCAGCGGAGCTGGGCCCGCCGCCAGTTACCTGGTGACTTGAGCTGGTCCTGGTAGTCGGGTGTGTAGGGGTCGATGGTGCACATAAGCACGTAGATGCAGAGAGCAAAGATGCCTGTCATGACCACGTAGAAGGCCACGTAGTAGAGGCTGATCCACACTGCGGGCAGAGGCGGGCCAAGAGCTGGGTCACTGGGAGCATGCATGCGTTCACCGTGTCACCTCTGGGTTGGCACTCCACCTGCTTCCGGAACATTCTCACCCCAATAACCCCGCCCCCCTTCACTTAAAACTCTTCTTAAAAATTACAGTTTTGGGAAACTAGCTTTAAACCGGCTGCTCTGAAATCCAGGGCCGAGCCTCTGGGGCCTGTCCTCAGCTGCCCCCCGCTCTCGAGTGCCCGGGGTCAAGGGTGTCAGGGCCTGGGCAGGCCTTTGGGGTTGGCCGGCGGGGATGGGAGGCTGGGGGGGCTTTGTCTGGACCCCAGGACCGCTACCCCTCATAGCCGCGGGGCGGCCCCTGCCCTCCCCCGGGCCCCGCGCACGGACCCCAGCGGGACAGTGTGCGGCCCAGCATCTGCCCGGTGTCCGGGTTCCAGCAGTAGCGCTGGAATTCCTCCATCCGCTGTCCGCATGACTTCTTCTCCTGCAGCGCCGCCATCGCTGACCGCTGCTGCTAGGGTTGCGGGGAGACTGCGTGCCTGGCTTTTAAGGTCTCCTCCTGGGAGCCCAAGGGCACCGCGGCGCCCAGCCCAGGGAGGCCCCGGCAGGTGTTATCGGGCCTGCCGTAAGGTGCCCTCCGCCGCCTCCCCGGGCATGTTGGGGCAGCGCCTCCACTGCCAGCCCCTCCTCGTGTGTGCCCTTGCAGGAACTTTATCTGCTCTGATAACAAGCGAGCAAGGAGACCAGCAGGCGCTCGGGAGGGGCTGGCAGGAGAGCAGGTCAGCAAGGCCTGGACCCGGGGCCCAGCCATAGCCGACAGGCTTGAGCTGAAGGGGCAGGAGCCTGAGGTTGTGGCGAGCAATGGCAGGGGTCCCGGAGGGGCGGGAGCCGGGTTCTCCTGTCACTGTCACTGCTGCAATGGGCTAGCCAAGCTCAGTGGTGCCCCGGGAGGCGGGCTGGGGCTCAGGGGTCCCAATACTTGAGCGCAGGTTGGGTGACGACTCCCGTGCTGCCCTGAGAGCCACAGAGGGGTCCACCGCCCTGCAGGAGACGTGCTTTTCAGACTGAATGATGCCAGGCCCCGGGCATGCTGTTCAAAGACAGGTTCTGACACACACAGGCCCGGTGGGCCGGGAGCTCCCAGGCGCCTCACCTGTGGCTGCAGGACCATGGCCATACCTGGGCAGCAGACACACCACCTGGAGCCACGTCCAAGTTGCCTGGGGAGCCTTGGTGGCCTCTGACACCAGTTCCACCCCTGAATTTCTGAGCTAGCTGACCTGCGGGTGGCCTGAGTGTCCGGACCACCCCCCAGACCCCTGCAGTGTATGGTCAGAACCAAGAAGCCTTGGTGGTCTACATAGCCGGGGCCGTGACCTTTGCTCCCCGGGGAGCAGACACGCTCAGGGATGTGACACCACCTCCACGATGAGGCAGAAGAAGTGACGCCAGGCACGGGTGATGGACCACAGGCCCCTCACGGACACCACGTCCGAACTGGCTGGGTTGACGGGGATCGCACAAAGCTCTAGCTGTCCATCCACTGTCCACTGTCACACTCACTCTGAGGGACCCACAGGGTCAAATCAGGTTTCTTCCAGGGAAAAAATTATGCAAAACTCTCCAGTTATTGTGCCATTTTCTTTAGGATGATTTAGAGTTTGTCAGCAAGATGATAAAAATTCATGTGGAATTGTAGCATTTTAGCTTGGACTCATAATTTCTTGGGTTTCTTAATGGGCAGATCCTAGGCGCTTTCCTTCACACTGTTCACACTCACAGCTTTGGAACTTCAGGGCTGTAGAAATGCAGAGTGTGGCCTCGGGCCTCGGTCTCACTGTCCACGCCCTTGGAGCTGGGATCCTAAGCGAGGAGGCTCGAGGCGCAGGGCAGCAGCTGCTGGACACAGACTCTGTGCCGCCCTGGCCTGGGAGTGCGACGCTCCGGGGCTTTGTCTTGGGACTGAACCTTCCACACTTAGACTCTGAATTCCGACAAGTGTGAGCGTGTGTGCTGAGCCGCACACGTGTTACCACAATGACCTTCGTGGGACATGTGTCTATGGCAGTGGTGGTGGTGGGGCACTGGGAGAGGGCAGCTTCCTGCCCAGCATGCCTGTGGGACCACTTAGCAGATGACCCCTGGAAAGGGTGCGCCCCGGACCATGTGGGGCTCAGCCCAGGTTCCCACCTGGGGGCCGCAAGGGGCGGGAGCCACCCCCTCCCCTGCTGCCGAGGGGTCTGAGGAGCCAGCGGAAACTGAGGGCTGGACGATAGGAAGATGCCCAGGTGTCAGCGGGTGATCACTGATCAGAGAAAGACCCGGGCAGATCTCAAAAGGAATCAAGGCAGGAGAGTCAATACGTGTCAAGACTGGGGTGACAGAGGCTGGAATCATCAACAGGCAGTGAAGCTGCCACAGTGAAAATGCTTCAGTGAGCAGCTGTGAATGCGCTTGAAACAAATGGGAAAACAGAAGTAGGAAGTTTAAAGAAAGAAACCAAAGATACAGAGAAGAACCAAGTGGAAATTTTAGATTTAAAAAATACAGAAGCCAGACTAAACAGCTCAAAGAAGGTATTCCTCAGCAGAGGGGAGGGGAGAGGGGGAAGAATCAGTGACATGGAAGGAAAAAAAAAAGAAGTCTCCAGGTTTGAACAAATGGAGAGAAACTAGAACCAGGAAAAATTGTGCAGAGCTCGGTGCCCAGCCGTGGTAAAGACTGAGGCCCGAGTCATCGGGGTCCTGCAAGGGCAGAAGGAAGGGGGCTGAGGAGTAAACCTTCAGACCTAAGAAGCTGAGAGAACCGCTAATAGGCACCCCCAACCCATGCCACGTTGCAATCAATCTTCTGGATATCAAAGACACACAAGACACTCTAGAAAGCAACTGCTGGAAACAGAAAGGGATTGCTTGGGTGTTAATCTGGTGAAACATGTACAGGACTTTCATACTGAAAACCACATACTGACAATGAGACAAAAACCTACGTAAATGGAGACACATATTGTGTTCACAGGTTGGAAGACTCTACACAGATGTCAACACTCCCCAAACTGATACAGTGTTTTAGCACAATTTCTATCAACATCCAAGCAAGATCTTTTTTTGTATCTAGGGATAAGGCTACTCTAAAATTTATTTAGAAAGACCAAGGAACTAGAAAAGTTAAATACTTTATTTTTTATTTGGAATACTTACATTTTTGGAAAATATTTTAAAAATGAAAAATAAGGTAGGAAGACTTGGTCTACTCAATTTCAAGGCTCATGATATAAACACAGTCATCAAGACAGTGAGGGACAAAGGGACGGAGACCAATAAACACAATAGTAAACTCAGAAGTGCATTCACACATATGCACCCACAGGTTTTGACAACAGTGCCAAAGAAGTTCACCGAAGCAAAGATGACCTTTTTAACACATGGAGCTGGAGCAACTGAACGTCCAAAAACCCTGACCTAGCTAACAGCTTGCAAAAAAATTAACTCAAAATGGTCATGGATTTACATGTAAAAGTATAAAACTTTTAGAAAAAAAATTGTGAGAAAATCTTTAAGAACTAGGGTTAGACAGAGAGTTCTTAGACTTAACACCAAAATCACAATCTGTAAAAGAAAGAAACTGAAATATTGGACCTCAAATACAACAGCAGGAAAGCAAACAGTCCAGTTAGAATATGGTCAAAGGATGTGAAGAGATATTTCACCAAAGAGGATTCGTAGATGGGAAATAAACTCTTGGATAAATGTTCAACATAAGTGGCCAGGAAGGAAATGCAAATTACAACCCCAGTGGGGTACCACCTATCACGAGAGCTGAAATAAAGAAGAGCGACAACTCCAAACGCTGGTGAGGATGCTGAGAAACTGGGTCACTCATGTGTTGCTGGTGGGAATGTAAAACAGTAGTTGTTCAGCCGCTAAGTCCTGTCTGACTCTCTGCGACTCCCTGGACTGCCCCACACCAGGCTTCCCCGTCCTTCACTATCTCTCAGAGTTTGCTCAAACTCATGTCCATTGTGTTGGTGACGTTATCCAACCATCTCATCCTATGCTATCTGGGGAAAAGTTTGCCAGTTTCTTAAAAAATTAAACATGCAAATATTGCAAGTACCACGTGACCCAGCAACATTCTTAGGCATTAATCCCAGAGAAATTGAATTTTATATCTGCAAGGATATCTGTATGTTTATAGCAGCTTTATTTATGATAGCCCAAACTGGAATCAACCTAGATGTCCTTCAACGAGTGAATGATTAAGCTAGCCACGGTCCGCCCACACCGTGGAATAGCACTCAGCAGTCCTACGGGTGCGGCTAGCCACCTGCTTGCCTCCAGGGAGCCACGCTGAGTGAAAAGAGCCAGTCCCCAAAGTTGCATAACTTGTGACTCCACTCATGTGGACTTGTTGTTTCTCAGCTGCTGAACTGTGTCTTTCTCTTTGAGACCCCATGGACTGCAACGTAGAACATTCTTAAAATGGCAGCTTTATGGAGATGGAGACCAGCTGACTGGTTTTCAGGGTTCAGGACGGTGTCAGGGAGGGAAGGGGGTGGTTGTCTATAAAAGGGGGCCATGTGATGTCAGGGGTCCTGAGTGCTGGCCGAGTCCACGTTGGTATACATGCTTCAACCCTGTGCTAAGTGGGGGAGATGCCGTCAGTGGGTGAGGGGGGGAGGGCATGGGGGTCTCTGCATTTCTTCTTATAACTGCACGTGAGTCTGCAGTCACTCTGAATAAAAGCTTTAATTTTGGAAAAGGGCCCGATGAGTTTGGGAAGCTCTGTGTACTTGACTCCTCTCAGAGCCGGGTTTGCTCTCCAGTCCCTAAGTCCCATGATAAACACATTTAAGGAGGGAGCTCAGAGTTCATCCAGCGGGCTTCGCTGTCCTCAGACCGTGCCTCTCGGGCTGTGTCCTGACCTCAGGCCCAGGCCCACCAAAGCAGATCCTTCTTTCTCCCGGTGATCTGAGTGCCTGGCGCCACTGGGAGGCTCCGGCGCAGGACACAGAATAAGAAGCACTGAAGAAGGGACTCAGGCCCATACATGTGCGGGGGTTGCTGCCCCATCCGATCCCTGGCGGGTTGAAGAAAAGGTAAGAAGGGGTTGAAGCGGTCAGCCCAAGGTCACCTGCCAGGAAGTGCTGGGCTGGACGTGCCAACCCTCCTTCTCTGTCACAAGTCCTCTTTTCTGCCTCCCCAGATGCTGCAGAGTCCGTCGTCTCTCCCACCCCTGCAGAGTCTCCCTGCCCTCTGGAGCCCTGTCCTTCCACTGTGAGTCCGGTTACCTGACGTCTTCTCCTGGGGTGTTCTGTGTTTCTGTGGCCCTTCACTTCTCCCTTTAAACTGTCACCAACCCCCATCACATCCTTGGCATTCTTTTCCTTACTGTAGGTACTGAGCACCTACTGCCTACTAGAACAAGACCAACAAGGCTGTACCGAGGTGAGCCCCAGGTGTGCCCAGGTGTGTCCCAGGTGAGCCCCAGGTGTGTCCCAGGTGTGTC